CGTGATTTCTAGGTGCGTGATTCGGACCATGTCCTTCGAGGAGGAACGGGGAGAGCTACAACAAGCGGTATTAACTACGCTGCGCCAGAACGAACAAATAAGGATTCCAAGAACTACGCAATGGCCGGAGGCGCAGCTTCCTCTTTCAGCAGCCAAGGGCAGCAGTCTTCCTTCACGACCAAAGGCGCACCAGCACATCAGAACCAGCTCGTCTCCGCCCTGATTTCCCCGAACCCCAGCCCCAGCACAGCTAGTAGCGCGGGGAAAATGAGTCTGCTCTCCTCCTCAGATCCTGTAGTTCCTGTCGCGCAGAGGCAGCAAGAACCTGCGGTAGCCTATTCTGCAGCCAGTGCAGGATACGAGCAGTATCGAACGAAAAGCAGCAGCAGTGGTTCCCGGTCGCGTTCGGGGAGCAAGGAAACAACCGTGACTACATCGAACAAAGACACTAACTTCCTAAACCTGAACACGATGTTCGAAACCACCTCCTCCCACTCGACTGCTTCCTTGACAAACTTGAAATCCCGCTCCCTCCCCACCTCGCCAAGCAGTAGTTCCCGCAACATGGGGCGCACGGAGTCTTTCTACGGGAAAGTTGATAGCTCGCTGCGAGACTTGGAGCAGATGCAGGTGGAAAATTCGAACTCGATTCTGACAAATCTCGACCACGTTCTCGAGGTCATTCACGAAAGTCGGGAGAAACAGATTGCAGTATGAGAGTGCTGTAAAACTTCCCCTCTCGTCCCTCATTTGTATTGCATGAGCTGCAGGAGCAAAAATGAAAACAAGCTTCGGCAACAATGCACGTTTTGCATGACGAATTAGGACAGGATAGTACGTCCTACTTGAGCTGCCAAGACCTGTTATGCAAACAGTGCCAAGACGAGACAGGGCGTCGGTTTGGTATTTTGCGAGCACAAACCAGGGTGAGGCGGACGAGTTGTGCACTCTCATATGCGGGTCTTGTGGGGGATAAGGATCAGAGCCAGCAGCTGAATAATTCCTCAACTTCGTCTTCCAGTGCCGGCAGTTCGGATGACAATGTCGGTGCGAATGCGAATGCTACAGCATCTACGTCGATTTTGTCCGGCAAGAGGACATCCAAGTCCAATCTGGAAAGGATAGCCACGAGCAAGGACGTCGTGCGAGCTGCGGGACCACAGCATGGTCAACAGGAGGCAAAACTTGTACCGCTAACCATACTCGAACCTCCGCTGCGGACAACTAGCAGCTCGAGCGGAACAGCTGCAATTGGTTCCCGGCGGCATAGCGGAAGTGCAAGTGTAACTGCGTCGAAGGAGAGTGTCGCGTTAAGTGGAGTTCTTGCAGATGGTAGAACGTCGATAAGCGGAGCGGCAACGGTTTTGCAGCAGCAGCAGCATGCAAGAACACCACAGCAGCAAGAAGTAGAGCCTTTTTCTCCGGGCAGTTTGGAGGAAGAAGAGGAGGAGAACTGGAGCACCATTCCGGAAGAGTTATCGCCGAAAATTCTGGACTTTTCAACATCCACACCGGTGAACCAGCCGAACGTAGCTGCTGCGTCGGGCAACAATCAGGAGCAGTCATCTGTAGCGCAAGGACAACACGAGCCCTCTACCTCTAGCATAGTATTGTCGAGCCATGTTTCCTCGGGTGGCACCGGTGTAGATAACAACTACGGCGAGAATAGTAACGCAGGGGACACCGGGAGTTCGTTGACCGTGTCTTTACCAGTCGAAAAGACGGCGCAACACCTTCTGCAGCAGGACAAAAGTACTGCTCTTCTTGCTGCGAAGACGTCGTCGAATTTGGACCAACAAGAAGCTGGTCATCTTCAGAGAGAAGCACAAGCCAGTAGGAGTGCCAGCTCGACGAAGGAGAAGCTGCAGCATGTCGCGCCGGAGACCACGGCGACCTCAGGTACGACTGCAACGGCGGCGCAATTGGAGCAAGATCAGGACGAGTTACAGGAATTGACAACTAAAGTTCATACGGAACTGACGAAGATGAACCAGGCTGCGGAAAAACTGAACCAGTTGAAGATGGTGCAGAAGCAGAAGCAGCAGGTTCTGGACAAGATCATTGCGGACTGGGCGATACAGCGAGTCTACCTGCTGTCCAGTTGCGGGGAGGAATACGTCTTGATCGCGGAAGATTATTTTTTGAAGGAGAATTTGCTGGAGAAGTCGAAGCAGAAAGTGAATCTTTTATCCGAGAAATTTTCCAAAGTCACTGCGAAGGTGAAATCGTACGCGGGAGGGGCGAGTTCAAGTTCCTCTTCCTCACCGAGCAGAACTACGGGTAGTACAACTACCAGCACGAGGCTGGAACGATGGAAAGAGCAGCTGAACACCATCGACTTGGCCTTGACGAGAGAAATCGCGAAATCAGCGCAGTTACAGGATGAACTCAGGCGGTTTGATGTGACTACTACATCGAGCTCATCTACTTCTCAACAGGGCGGGACTAGTAGTAATTCCTACCACAGCGGCGGCGGGCCGACCCCAACGCCAGGCAACACAGCATCAACTAGCTCCCATCACAAACCGCCGACAGAAGCGCAGATTCGCAAACTGAAGGAGGCGGTGTCAAAAGCGAGGCCTTTTTTCCTGGCTTACCGGAAATTTTGCCACAGCTACAGGGAGGCGAAGCTGTTTGTGACCACGGCACAGGACAACGCAGATGAGTGCAAAAGAGTTACGGAGGAGAAAAACTGTGGTGAAGGTGTATACTAAGTCCGTCATGCGAATAAACATGGAAGAAGGTTACGTGTCTGTCATGCTGGTTTTGCGTGGAGGGGTGTACGCAAAATGCGTTTTCACGTACTATCAATCTGCGAATGATTGTCAACATGCCAGACAGATTTGTCATGCTCTTCGCCAAGAAATGCGACACTGGCACAGTTTTTTTCCACCTGGATACGAGTCTACAACACAGCAATACGGCGCTTGGAGTCTATCTCCGCGGAAGAACACGCGAAAAGGGGGGATGTTAATCTTACAGGGATAGCTGTCTGAAAAATCGAAGATTTGTTTGAAGTGATGATAAGGATTGGCGTCCCGCCTGCTTCCATGTCGTGTGCCATCTTGTCTTCTTCAAGTAGACTTGACACCATGTTGTTTCTTCATCGGGCCGCTTGTCGGTTGTTCTACTGTTCCATTGCAAAAATAAAGTTTCGAAAAATCGGAACAAGAGCCAAGAGATCGGCTGTTCCAAGTAGAAGATCCAAGGGAGTTCTTTTTGGTAAGGACGCCAAACTTTACCATGTGGAGACGAAGAGGTCGGCTTCTGTGACGTCGTCATCAAGACACAGCTCTTTACAATTGCGATGAAAATTGAAGATCTAGATCGAGCAAAAGCAAAGGGAATGATGTATCCGGATCCAGGTATTCGTAGTTGCTCCCGCGCGACCACCCCCCCGAAAAAGCGGTTGAAATCTTGTTCCGTATTAGAAGCCCACTGATCTTCTGCTGAAAAATAGAGCTCAACATGCCATTAGTGCAGCTTGCTTGGCGTTTTTAGTGCAAGACGAGATCATGCGCTCTACGACTTCGTGATGATATGCGATTCTCTCTCTCTATTCTGACCTCTTTGCAGCTTTTGTAAAGAGCCTGTGTGATGAGGTACTCGCTTTTGACTTCATTCGCTATCTGAGAAGTGGCACCTGCAGGTTCTTGTGCTTGACAAAACAGGTTTGTCTAGCACGTGGTGGTCCATACATAATCTTCGAACAACAGATTCGTGCTCTACTTGCACATCAAGATCATCAACAGCACGGACGAGCAGTCGGGGTCTGTTGCCTGGCTTGTGCATATCAGGAATCCGGCTGATAATGTTTCTCATGCAGGTTCATTTTGTCCTGCAAGACGAACTTTCGCTGAGACCCCTGGGACCCGCAAGCCGCACCACATTGATACTGTGGCAGAGACCTCTAGTGCCCTTCCAACAATAAAAGCAATTTTCCGTGAGTTCTCCCTGAAACGGGCTTGTGGTAGCCTTGAGTTTCTCCTACTTAACACTGACGGACATGATGGAATTAGCTCTAGCATGCTCTTCGGAAATGTAAATGGATAGGAGAGCAATATGCAGATTACTTGTGATGACACACTTTTGTCTTTCGCCTCTAACTGAGCTGTGGTTTCTATCGCAGGCCGGTGCGGAGAAAGCAATAACCTCTAAGAAGTTCTGATACTGGTAGAAATCACGAAGCTTGTGATGCACGACCACCTCGCTATGATGACAAAATGCTTTGTCTTTCGCCTCTAACTGAGTTCATTCTAGATGCGGAATCAACAACAACCTCTAAGAAGTTCTGACAGGGTGTATTGCATAGAACAGCTAATATTGCTATTGAAGTCGAATCTCTCTTGCATAGAGTAACAATGATGAGACCCACAACCTTCAAACTTTAATATACGCTCTGAAGTTTGAATGAAGACACAACATAACTGGCACCAGGCTGATAGTTGCGGTTGTTTTGTACGTAATAATTCCAGCTCCCCAAAGTGGACAGGCGCGCCCGCAGTAGTGCAGCGGTTTCATCTGCATGGCGAGTAGAATGATGACAAATTTTTTTCGGACTAGAGTTTCTGAGTCCTTGTCGCTTCAAGGACGCTGAGCAAACACGACATAAGACTTTGATTCTGATAGAAATCCTCGCAGGACTGTTACAGACTTTTTCCGGTTCTGAGCTGCCACTTCTTCTTTTAGGATATCTACTGTACTACATCTTCAGGCACCTCTTAAGGGCATCAACAATAATTCAAGCATGCACTGGATGGTTTTCAGAACCGAATTGTGATGTGCTGCTTCCAGTCCGATTTACATCCTACGCTCCGAAGATCGTTGTAACTGGTCTTTTACCCCTTTCATTTGTGGGTTCGTTTATCAATCGCCTTGTCAAAATCTTTTTTTTTTTCTGTGCCACCATTAAATTCGAAGACTCCTTAATTCTTCGCCGGCACTTATTTTCATAACCTCCTGATAGATATTTTTCTTTATAGGGATAACATAAGCATAAGTGCACCAGGTGCACAAAAATTTCGATTTTCCCCGCGATCTGTACTTATCCTCACCGAAGATGGAGCAGACTGGAAAAATCATGCTGGTGTCGGAGGGGCTGATCGAAGAAGTCCGTAACAAGGACAGCAGCACTTGTAGACGTTCCCTCGGCCGCACTCTCACCGCCCCTTGGGAGACCTCATCAAAGGGGTTGTCAAAAAGGTTGTCAAATTTTGAAAAGATGCTGAAGGAAACATCTTTTCAAAATTTGACAACCTCAACAAAGCAAGTGCTTGCGTTGTTGAGGTTGTCAAATTTTGAAAAGATGTCTCCTTCAGCATCTTTTCAAATTTTGCAGGCCAAAGGCCACGCGCTTCAGATTTGAAAAAATGCTGAAAGGGCATCTTTTCAAATCTCAAGAACCACAGGAGAGCACAGCAACTTTTTCGCCTGTTGGTTTTCAGATTTGAAAAGATGCGCCCCGAGGTATATTTCCCCGCTTCAGCCGTGTCCACATTTGAAAAGGTTGCGCCATGAAGCACGAGCCACCTCGTCAGGGGTTGCTCGCTCCTCAGGTCTCCCAGATCTCTCGACCCCTTTGGCTTCTCGGACAGCTGTGGTCTGTGCGCGCCTCCCTATTCTACCTAGACCTCCCATTCCAGTTGGCTTTTCCGGGTTTCCCAGCCTACGCCGCCTGTCCTCATTTTACTGGGCGCGCGCCAAGTCCTGAACCGCTAGGGGTTTGGGAAGCTGCGCAGAAGATGCGGCGGGCGTTGTTTCCGAATCAGGCCCAAGCCAGGCCGGGGCAGATAAGAGGGGAGGCGCAGCCTTTCGCTCGGCTGCGC